ATGCCAGATTCGTTGCTACTCCCACAAGTGGGTTAGTGGGTGAAGAGAACATGCCTTTTCCAGAAAAGTGAATCTTTGCACGTAAGTTTCTTTTCAGATTTTTTCCTTCTCTTCCTTTTTTTTTTTTGTGAAGAACCTGCAATCTCGTGACTGTTTTATTTTTTTTTAGCAACCATGGAAGCTGTTGAGGAGATTTCAAACTTTCGTGGTTGGGTAAAAACATTATTAACTGTTGCTCCTATGGAAGAAAGGTCCTGGAAGTACCTTTCTAATAGGTTTGATTGGAAAGTGAAGACTCGTGGTATCTTTTTCTTCTATTTTCTACCTTACTTCCATACTTAAAAATTTACTAACTCCTCTCTTTACTAGGATTTCCCATTCGAGGTGTGAGTGCCGCATCTATTGCTGCTTCGAGACTCTCTCTGTTGATAGCTCAAGAGATGATCTTGAGTTCTTCATCAAAAAGAAAAGCTGATAGAGCACACAGTTCCGAGGGTGAAGAGGAACGGGATAAAGGCTCGTTAGTTCGTAAGCCTCGAGCTAGGAGACGTGTCATTTTGGATGACGAAGCTACTCTTTCTCCCAGTTCTATCCTCATGCACGAGCCCGAAGGTGCTACCTTAGTCAGCTCTGATGTAGAGATGCCTGCCACACCCCGTGACTCTACATAACAACTCTTTTCTCGTGGGTTTGATAATGAATACTTCGGCTCTGTATCTGTTCCAGTTGATCCTCAGTTCCCCGCACCTGTTGCTGCTACCACTGCTTCGCCCATGGCTATTTTGACTCCCTCAACTGCCCCTACTATTACAACTTCTCATGTTGAAGTTGGTTCTTCCAGTAATAGTAGGGTAATGAAAATAATTACCATCGAGGTTCCTGAGGATGGTAATCTTTTGAAGAAATCTGGCCAAGCTGATGTATGGCTGAAACAATTGATTGGCCCAGTTGAGAAGTCCAAATTGGAAAGCCACAGTTCTTTAACGTGGATGAATGATATTGTACATTCATCTTTTAAGGTATAAGCCTTAGCTTTTTATTTTGCATATGATTTCCTTTTCATCTATATTTGATAATCACATTTGCCTTTTCATTGTGTAGATCAACCTAACTGGAACAGAGATGATGAAGAGGATCGTCCATACTGAGCAGTTAATGAACGACTATCGCACCGAAGCGGACAACTGGAAGGAACGGTTCGAAGGTCTTCAAATTGATAAAGAAGTCTTAGAGGAAGAAGTCTTAGAGGAAGAAAAATGTACCTTGGAGCAGCAGCTGAAGGTAATGGCAGCAGAGTTGGCAGTTGAGAAAGCCTCATCCAGTCAAGCGGGCAAAGATAAAGACCTTTTTGAGTCTTCATTTGCTGAGCAGCTTTCCAAACCCACTGAAGAAATTAGAGGTTTGAAGGAACTGTTGAACCAAAAAGAAGTTTATGCCAGGGAGCTTGTTCAAACGCTCACCCAAACTCAAGAAGATCTATGTGCATCTTCTAACCAAGTTCAGTTCTTAGATAGGTCTCTTTCCCCCTTACAGGCTTCTTATGATGTTGCTTTGAATGAGAAGGAGGAGCTAAGAACTGAAATTGAGCAGTGGGAGAGGGATTATGAAGCCCTTGAATACAAGGCTATTGTTGACGTTAGTTGGGCTTTCTTGAACACGCGCCTCGAAACTTTAATGGAGGCAAGCCGGGAAGGTTTTGACTTAGCTTCTGAAATTGCAAAAACTAAAGAAACTATTGAGAAAACTCAGCAAAGTCAAAGCTTTTCTTTACCTGAGGTCGGCATTCCCGAGGGTAATGAACTTACTCCTGGTAAAGCTATTGTTCAACCCTCCTCTGCTCAAGTCATTCCCTCTGCTGCTGATGATGCCAACTTGAATCCTTCTGATAATACTGGTTCAGATCCTTCCCCACAGTGAAAGTTTGATTGAAAAGTTTGAAGTGTTGTTTTGTTTTTTTTTATTGGTAGAAGTTTACCCCTGGTCCGTTTTGGGGTTTGGTAATGATTTGGAAAGTTTTACCCCTGGTCTGTTTTGTGGTTTTGTATAAAAGGTTTGTGATTTAGTGAGCTCTGATGAAGAGATGCCTACCGCACCCCGTGATTCTAATGAAGACTTTGGCTTTGTTTCTGAGGAAACGCCTCTTGCCTCTTTTTCTGTATCTGTTATAGTTGATCCTCAGTTCCCCGCACCTGTTGCTACTACCACTGCTTCGCCCCGTGGCTATTTTGACTCTCTCAACTGCCCCTATTGTTACAACTTCTCATGTTGAAGTTGGTTCTTCCAGTAACATTAGGGTAATGAAAAGAGTAACCATCGAGGTTCCTGAGGATGGTAATCTTCTAAATAAATCTGGCCAAGCTGATGTATGGCTGAAACCATTGATTGGCCCAGTTGAGAAGTCCAAATTGGAAAGCCACAGTTCTTTAACGTGGATGAATGATATTGTACATTCATCTTTTAAGGTATAAGCCTTAACTTTTTATTTTGCATGTGATTTCCTTTTCATCTATATTTGATAATCACATTTTCCTTTTCATTGTGTAGATCAACCTAATTGGAACGGAGATGATGAAGAGGATCGTCCATATTGAGCAGTTAATGAACTACTATCGCACCGAAGCGGACAACTGGAAGGAACAATTCGAAGGTCTTCAACTTGAGAAAGAAGTCTTAGAGGAAGAAAAATGTACCTTGGAGCAGCAGGTGAAGGTAATGGCAGCAGAGTGGCAGTTGAGAAAGCCTCATCCAGTCAAGCGGGCAAAGATAAAGAACTTCTCGAGTCTTCATTTGCTGAGCAGCTTTCCAAAGCCACTGAAGAAATTAAGGGTTTGAAGGAACTGCTGAACCAAAAAGAAAATTATGCCTGGGAGCTTGTTCAAACGCTCACCCAAACTCAAGAAGATCTCTGTGCGTCTTCTAACCAAGTTCAGTTCTTAGAGAGGTCTCTTGCCCCCTTACAGGCTTCTTATGATGCTGCTTTAAATGAGAAGGAGGAGCTAAGAACTGAGATTGAGCAGTGGGAGAGGGATTATGAAGCCCTTGAAGACAAGGCTATTGTTGACGTTAGTTAGGCTTTCTTGAACACGCGCCTCGAAACTTTAATGGAGGTAAGCCAGGAAGGTTTTGACTTAGCTTCTGAAATTGCAAAAACTAAAGAAACTATTGAGAAAACTGAGCAGAGTCAAAGCTTTTCTTTACCTGAGGTCGGCATTCCCGAGGGTGATGAATTTACTCCTAGTGAAGCTATTGTTCAACCCTCCTCTACTCAAGTCATTCCCTCTGCTGCTGATGATGCCATCTTGAATCCTTCTGATAATACTGGTTCAGATTCTTCCCCACAGTGAAAGTTTGATTGAAAAGTTTGAAGTATTGTTTTGTGTTTTTTATAGGTAGAAGTTTACCCCTAGTCCATTTTGGGGTTTGGTAATGATTTGGAAAGTTTTACCCCTGATCTGTTTTGTAGTTCTGTATAAAACAATTCGGTTAGAACTAAGTTTATACTTAGTTTTTGCCCAGTTATTTTAATATTACTTTCCGAGTTTTTGTTCAACTCTTATAATATCTTATTTTGAGTTTCTGTACTACTCTCTTATTATGTATTTTAAAATACTTCAATACTCCGTGACTTTTTTAACAGGCACGAATTATAACAGAGGGCCCTTTATAAACGACACTTAATGAAGAAGACGTCTCAACTTTATATTGGTGTAAACATACGAAAGAAGGAATAGGAACACACATGTTTCTTTGAATAATTTGAGGAAGTTTTGTATTGTTTGAACTTCCAAACTGTATAATACTTTACACGTATTCAAGTATCATCTACAACTCTTTCGTAACTGTTTTCCTTATAACAGATTTTACAAAATTCAAGGGTATATCTTGCAACCCATGACTAAATATTGCCTTTAACCTATATATTCGTAAGATTTTGTAATTTACATCTACGAGTGTATTCCTCATCATAAGTTTTTTGAATCAGGCTTGTGTTTTTGCTCTTAACTTTCGATTTGTTGGGTAGATTGCCTCAGGCTTGACTCGAATTCTAACTTTTCCAGTCTTCTTTGCCTT